GCTGACCAGATACGACTGCGCCCATCTCGGTGGACAGTTGCCACGCGTTCGGGTCCTCTCTGAACTCCTTGTTGCGACCGCACGGACACAGACACACACCGCACCACTTTTCCATCTCGGTCAAATGTTTTTCCGTCTCGCGCATGTCGTCGTTGATCATGTCCATATCCCGTTCGATCCTGTCCAGTTGTTCACCCTGCTCGTCCAGCGCCACGAGCGTACGTATACCGCAATCGTTGGACTCATCGCATAGGGTTAGCATACGTCGAGTCGACTCCAGCGTCTCGTCAGTGGTTTTATTGGCTTTCATCTGTAGGTCTTGGATCAGATCCATGTCCGCCGGCGACAAGTGTGCCATTGCTGCGCTGTCTTCAGCCGATTCTTTGCCCCTTTTTGTATGATTTTTATTATTTATTATTATTGTTTATTGAGTTGATTACAAAGTATTTTTACTTTTTATACACTTATGCACTTTTTATGCACTTTAATACCAATAATTGATAGTTCGTTGGTTTATTATGTTAACTCCATAGGCTAGATTTGGCATTTTTAATTTATTTAGCAATATTTTCAATTAATGAGTTATTTAAGTAATTATTTATTTCTAACATATATTCAAATTGTTGTCACTATTTTCGTTGTCACTGTTATAACGTATAAAACAGATGTTGTATTGAGTAAATAGACAATAGTCTGTCATTGAAATGTGCATGGTCTTATGATGGCTTGTTACAATTGTGATATTTACTAAAAATGTTTAATATGTTGTTTTGTTTATTATTGTCAAATTATGTTACATAATGTGACACAAAAATAACTGCTATATTTAAAATTGTTTAAACATTGTTAATCATACCTATTTTAAAGTAGTTGTAGTATACCTACATTATAACAATTACATCATGTTTATTATAATTATGATTTTAACTTAATAATCATTTTGATTACTTTACCCTTACACATGAAATTAAATATATAATATTTTAATTTAGCAAGTATTTTGACTCTAGGTGCATTAAAACTTAATAATCGTTGATATTAATGATAGAGCATTCATATTAAAAACATTAATAAATTCTTAAAACATTTTTACATAACAGTAACAAAACAATTATTTTTGTTACATTTTTTATTGACGTCAATCCAAATGTTAAACACTTGTATAGTTTAATTACATTTTTAAAGCTTACATGATTACAATAAATTAGCTAGATTTTAGAAATATGTCCTAGTTTACTTGGAATATTCTGTATTACTAAAACTAATATTACAAATGCAAAGTATAAAATAATATTAATGATTTTGTTTAAAGGATCTTACTGGAAAATTATGCAACATTAATAAAAACTTAAGGTTATATTCATTAACCATGTCTATGTCTATGTATTGTATTAATAGATTAATTATTAAACAACTGAAATATTATCCCACA